AGTCCATGTTAAATTTAGAAATGATGTACATTCAAGATACCATGCACAAAAGTTGCAGTTAGCGTGTCTGACATTTTGCGACTAATTACTCGCTTAATTCGAGGAGAGCATGAGAATACTCTTCCGATGTTTACGTTCCGACAGCTGTTTGCAATGTTACTAGAACAATATTATTTTTAGCACACACATGCACGAAACAATCTTCCCGATGTACGAAACTCGAGGTAAAGGCCACGTAGTAATAATCAATCACTGAAATTTTCAGCGCGTAAACAAATTTCTGATATCTCACTTCGTATCGATACCACGTAAGCTCTTTTTCTGGCAACCGATAACAGATGTCTGACACAATAATGTTCACTGAATTTTAATTTCCTAAAATGGGACATGTATATCACATGTTTTTTCCCAAATCGTGTGTTGAGCAAAGAACGTAGTTGCATCAACCAGATTATCCACAAAAGTGTCGTTCAGACGAGCACTCGCTGACATCACTCAATGTCAAAGATTAGATAAATTCTGGTAGACAATCGATATCGTCGCATGGCACTGTGCTTTTACAGGCAGGCGATTAGCAGACGCCATTGGTGATTTTTCTTAAAAAAGTGTGTGCATATTGGTGTTTGTGGACACTTGTTCATATAAGTGTCTTCAAATTTGTCGTTGTAGAAAATGACTTTGTTAGCGATAAGAGCGTACGAGGTGACGGATGTCATTAGAATATAGAAACAGGTATACTCTTAATAAATCACTGTCTATTAGTAATGTTACTAATATATTACTAATGTTACTGTCTAGTTTTTATATCCGAAAAAGATCACGTTTCAAAACATGTAGTAAACCACAATAAAAATGAAAGTAAAATTTGAATTGTTTTCCTGTATTTTAGAATGGTAAATGAATTTTTTTTTTTACAACGTATGAAATCAAAATCATCTGTATAAAATCTTGTGTGTACGTTTCAGTAAAAAAGTTGGGTTAGATAACTTAGATAATCAGCACTATATACTGATCTTTTTTCAATGATTAACACAAAGCACAAAACAATCGGACATAAGAGGTTTATCAAATTGTAAGTGGAGATTATATAATAGAAACGATGAAGACATAAAAGGCGAATTAAATTATTGTATCTAAGAAGTTAGGTAATATTACAATATTAGGTAATATTAGGTAATATTATAATATTAGCAATTAGATAATATTATAATTAGCTAAGAGTACAACTCCAGAAGGAAGAAATAAAGTCCTAAAAAATTTTCAAAAATTGTGGTGGTGTTGTTTAATTATCTGCATATGTATGTATTGTACTGCAAAGAGAAGTCCCCTATACTTTTTCCCACCAGTCTATATCAATGTGTATACAATTCTATCTGTTCCCTCGTTCAAAGGAAGCCTTCTATTAGCAATCTTCTAGTGGAGTAACATTGTAGATAAGAGGGTGTGTTAAGCGATCAACAGTTTACTGATAAAGTGATAAATGCATTAATTCTGTCGAGAATAATTCAGTCTATAAAACCATATTTTGCTTATACAAAATTAAGCAAAATTATTCAATTTTTCACTGCCTCAAATTTAATATTACAGTCTAAAGATCAAAATTTAACACTAAACGTATAATTAAAATTTAAGTAATGCAAAAGTTCTTTACCATATTTTATTGTCGACGATTTAATTGATATATCATCAAGTTATTTAGCATAAAATTCCTCTTTATTTTCGTACATTTATTAATACAAATGACTCATGAGTAGCAATATAGATAAGAATATTACAGTCGATTGTGGCTTTGAACTTTTGCACCTTTTGAACAAGATATTGATTAAAATCAGTAGATCTGTATATTCATTTTTTAATTACTCAATGACTTTATCATTACAAGAAATGACTCATTTATTCTTTTTATTTTACAAGTTCCATATTTTACAATGTGTTGTTTATTTTAGAATTTTAATAGGAGCTTTGACTTTTTAATTTTCGTTTTATTTTACAATTTCATTAAAAGTGTAGATGTGTTAATGCTTGTTTTAGTTAAAAATTTTACTTGAACTTTAACTTTCATTTTAAAATTTTATTAAAAATTGATTTTATTTAATGTTCGTTTTACTTTAGAGTTTCATGACACACTTCGATATTTTCAATATTTATTCCATTTTAGAATTTCATCAGAAATTCCAATATTTCAATGTTTGTTTTATTCTAGTATTTCATTCTACCAATAATTGCATTGAAATAATACAGAATTTCTCTGAACAAGAAAAGCCTGTTACCCTGTTGTCTTATTTAACGAACCAGCAATAACTCGGAACTTTTCGAAACTTTTCTTCAGTTGGTCGAGTTTAATTATGTATTTATTGGAATTTTCTATGATCTCACTCGCTTGCGATCGTTTGCAAACTTAGCATCGGTCTTGTGAGACTTGGTTCAACGTTGTTGTATTCAGATGTTCGTGCTAATTAAATATGCAAACGATGCCACGAGTTTGTAACGTCTGAATACTTTGCATACAGTCACCATCGTTTTCCGTCATCATTGTACACTGAATTGTTCAAAATATACACTTCCTCCTAATATTCTTGCAATTTTAATTACACGTTTACTTACTTGTATCTGACACATCTAACACTTGTTGCATCTGAGAAATTTAATTACTTTTTGTATCTAATAAATCTCTTCACTTGTTGCATTCAACAAATGCAATTACCTGTTGTATATAACAAATCTCATTCCTTGTTTCATTCAACAAATTTAACTATTTGTTGCATCTAACAAATCTCACTACTTGTTGAATATGACAAATCTCACTATTTGTTGCATGTGACAAATCTCATTACTTGTTGCATGTAACAGATCTCAAAATTTATTGCATCTAGCAAATTTCAGTATTTCATGTGTCTAAGAAGTCTCATTACTTTTTGCAGCCAACAAGTTTCACTATTTGTTGTGTCTGACAAATCTCATTATTTGTTGAATTTAACAAATCTCATTACTTGTTGCATGTAACAGATTTCAAAATTTATTGCATCTAGCAAATTTCAGTATTTCATGTGTCTAAGAAGTCTCATTACTTTTTGCAGCCAACAAGTTTCACTACTTGTTGTGTCTGACAAATCTCATTACTTGTTGCATTTAAAAAATCTCTCTACATGTTCCATGTAACAAATCTCATTACATGTTGTATCTCACACATCTCGTTATTTGTTGCAACTAACAAATTTTATTACTTGTTGTGCCTAACAAATCTCGTTACTTGTTGCACTCAACAAATCTGACTACTTGTTGCATATAACAAGTTGTATGTGACAAATCACGCTATTTATTGCATGTAACAAATCTCACTACTTGTTGCATGTAACAAGTCCCATACCTTATTGCATTTAACAAATCTCAGTATTTTATTGCATGTAACAAGTTTCACTACTTGTTGCATGTAACAAGTCCCATACCTTATTGTATTTAACAAATCTCAGTATTTTATTGCATGTAACAAGTTTCATTATTTGTTGCATGTAACAAGTCTCACTATTTGTTGCACCTAACAAGTCACGCTACCTGTTGCATCTAATAAGTCTCATTATTTGTTGCGTCTAACAAATGCATGCATATGTAGTCCCGTTATTTAGAAGCTACACCTTACCTAATCGTTGTTGCTCGCAGTGTGATTAATCCCGTGCCCTAAATTCGTCGTTTAGAAATATTTCGGCTCGAAATTTACCGTACTTTCATTGGTTTTTCGAAATCAATTCATGCTCAGTTCACTGCTAAACAACGGCCACGCTTCCCTCGAAAGAGTTGCGCTCATGTCATGCACAACGAGCAAATTTCATGCTCTGTTTCTTTCAAACACTCCGAGAAAATAAATCGAGTAGCGTCAAATAAAGCGATCGATCATTCATTGAATCTGTAATTGCCTCCTTAAATCTGTTAACTAGGAAAATATGAAGTTCAATGGATATGAAGTTCTATTGTATTTAATGAACGTTTCCCATTTGACATTGAATACAAGAAAGTAAGATAATGAAGTTTATAATAAAATTTGATGGTAAAAATTATGTTTATTTCAATTTAAGCAGTTTATTGTTACGAATACTATCACCTTCGTTTGCTATATCACGTAAAAGTGAAAGGAAAACAATGAGTAATGGTTTTGTAATTTTTACGTCTACAATGAGTTATTGCTTTTTCGATCGAAAATGCTATTTTTAGGTTAGACGAAAGCGTGAATTCAGTTGGAAATAAATCATTTAACACTAGAATTATTGACGTTAAATGCACACTGATTTTTAAATCTAAAATAAGTAAATGCAATCTTTTTTAGCTGAATAAAATGACAGATATTTTGACAAAACGAAAATAAAATTATGTAATATAAAATGTGAAACCAGGAACCATTTTGACTGGATCGTGACGTTCAAGTTTTAAAATGATGGACATGTTCTTTAGATGAAAAATATTATTGAATTGAGAAGAAGACAAGAATTAATATTTGATATTGTTAGACGATGGGAAGAAAAACAAGTTTAACTGAAATTTTAACGAAGAGATAAACACATAAATTTTTAATTTGACGACCTGTCTAGTAGATTTATTGCGATCAAGCAAAAATTGATTATTAAAAACTGTGTCTGCTGTAATTAATTATTCAAGCAATATCTTTTATGCAAAATGTTTGAACTTCATATTTTATTGTATTATTTTACCCAGTTAACAGGTTAAAACAATCTTTAGTCGTTTGAGTAGCCATACACAAAATATACATTCAGTGTTATATCTATAGTTTCGCAGTTAAATTTTATATACATGATTACAATTATTTGTATAAAATTTGTGCAATGTTAATAATTAGCATAATTCATTAAATAATTAATATCCATTTCTTTACCATGGTGTTATATGACATTCTCGCCACTCAAACGATTAAAAAATGACATGTGACATATAAATGAAAATGAATTATAATTAAAAAAAAATAACGATAAATGATTAGCTTGTAGCATTACCTTGACAGTCGTCTCTGTAATGTTGAGATTTTGGTGGTGGCGGGGGTGCGTTCGAGTATTCTATTGGCCGAGCCGAAAAAAAATGAAAATAATAATTAGCCGTGCTATAATTAGCAAATGATGATAATCACTCAGCACGAAGGATCACTGTGATTGTTAAACGAACCCTTAGATTCATTTGAACGCACTGTTGCTCAGCATCCATCAGTATTGGTGTCACTTTGTAGTCAAGAAAAAAATAAGAAAAGAAACTAATTTCTATTTTCATAGCAAGATTTATATTTTTGGAGATATTTTAGTGATTCATAACGTAAAGGGATCATTGAAAGTGTAACTATTATTCAGTTTTTACATGCTGATTACGATTAACTGTTGTTTGAAATTCATGAATATTTTTCTGGAAATCGCCATCTTTTGTTACTAAACATTTTCTCAAAGGTTTCACAAAAATTTTAATTTTAATACCACAGAAACCAGTGAGGCAAAATAAGTAATCTTTGTATTTCATATAAATTACACGAATAATAGAAAATATTCTTTTAAGGTGAAAATTAGTATATCTTATCACTTTAGACAAACATCACCTTGACAAAAATTGAGAGGAAAACGCATCAATAAATTCTTACTGATTTGAAATTCTACAATTGTCATTTTTGTTTAAAAAAAAATTTGTTTTTAGTTCCACAGTGTAGTTATATAATGTCAATGTTGTCTCTCAACAACTATTCCATCATTAATTCAATAAAAACCCACTTATGACTTTCGAGAATTCAAACCATCACCTGTCATACATCAATCCCTCAACTCTGTTAAAAAACAATTCCTAATACACGACAACGTAACGTTCAAGATGGCGACTTCCAGTCTCAACGAACCTTTCCAACCCGCGAAATCGACAAAAGGTTCTTTTCAACACTTATGAAAATTCAGACCTTCAAATGTGACAGTAGGTCGAGCAGTATAAATAGGAATCGGCGACCACCAACTGGTGTTTTTTCGTCGAACAGTTGTGGAAGGCAACGGTAGAGGAGGAGGAGGTTGATATCTGAACCTCGGCCTGTGTTTATCGGGGTCAAATTTTTGGCTAGCGAAATCATTCGCTTGCTTCAAAATGGACGACGAGTTTCTTGAAGAGGCACACACTTTCCCCGTCACTTTACTCTCGTCTTTGATCAGAGCTTTAGAGTCACTTTTCGAAACTCGACGACCAGCAAGGTCCGGCGGCGACGACAGAGAACGCATGTTATCTCTTCGGCTGGGATACCTATGCGCCACCCAACGACCCGCCAGATACGGCGCGATATCACGAAGTTCACGCACATCCGGCGAAGAAGTGAACATTTCACCCAGGATCGAAGTTTTCCGCGCGCCAAACGTTTCAAACTTCTTTCGCAAACGACACACAGGCTTCCTCGCCTCCAGCTCCTTAGTCTCCGCCTTCCGGGCCACAGCGTTGCTCATAGTCGAAGTCGTCGAGTCCTTCAGCTCGGCCGTTTTGCTGATGACGTCGATGTGCGGCATGTTCAAGTCTTCTCGACGAAGAGGAACGCGTGGAATGGGTGGTGACTCTCCTCTCCGACGAGCTCTTCCTCTTCTAGGCTCGTACTTCCTTCGTAACCACGCAACATCCGCGAACTCGTGCGCCTTTACCTTACCTTGCTCCACCTTCTTCAGGAGGCAACGCGTCAGCTCAGGGTCGCTTTGGAACTTCTTAGGCTTTGGAACCAACTTGATCCCGCTACGCAAGTCCTCCACACTTTCGAACTTGGCCCTCAGTCGTTTGACGGTGCCATTTCTGACGAGTTTCAAGTACGCTCGCCAGTATTTGTCCGGGTCTGGCGAGGATCCGCGTAAACAAATGCTTTCGATGCTGCAGGTCGAGTTGGATCGAGTCGTTGCACGACACGGACTGACGCTGTGAGGCCTGTCGTGTTCACGGTCCCGT